CCCCTCCCACAAATTCAGTGGGGAGCTTTCACCCAAAGACACCTCCAGGTGACCCTGAATGCCGAAACACAATGAATCACTGGCATCAATTAAAACCAACCCAGGGAAAAACAACTGCTCTTGTGAATTCTGAAAATGAGGACACACAGGCATCTCCTCATTTTGGGGTAGTCTTCATGAGTCACGGAAAGAGAATGGCCTCATCACCCCTCAGAGTGAGGAGTCCTAGAGATACCAGGCCGGTGGCGTCGATCTCACCAAACAGAACATGCAAACGAAGTCGCACGTACACAGTTGCTCTTTTCACTCTTATTCTCAGTGTCGTTTGTGAAAACACTTAAAACATTACATAAGCATTGGAAAAAGTGGCTATGTAGACAAATGCAAGACTTTGAGCATCAATTTCCCTCTCAAGCTTATTCTTGGAAGGGGAATGCTAATCTATCAGCATTTCTGGTCAGGAAACCATTTCAGTTTAAAGGCCTTTCTTTTTATTTTCACCACTGAAATTTCCAATAAAGAAACGTGAAGAAATTAAATATAAATGAAAACAGATGGTAAGATGCTTTGCTTGGTTAATCAGATGCACAGGATCTCACATATTGCCAAAGTGGAAGTGTAACGCACCTCGGAAATGAAATAAATGAAGAAAGAGTCTAATGACTGATACTGGGTAACAGCAAAAATGGGCCAGCACAGATCAACGTAAGTAATTAAACCAAGGCTGGAGACTTGAGTTATACACGTCCTGAACGGAACAGGACCTGCTGGCCTGAGACTCAGGAATGTTCTAGAAACACGTGGTCTGCAGCTGGTAGACAGTTGTTGGTTTTCAGGAAAAGATGAGCCTATAGCTCTTCTGCCTTGTGACCAAACGCTAGAGAGAGTGGCCGAGCAACAGGAGGCCAACCTAAGAATCAAGTTGTCATTGCTGGGCTAGTCTCAGGGAGTCCCATCTTGAAAGAAAACGGCCTCAGCACCATCCAGAGTGGCTAGCTGTGTCGATCTCACCAAATAGAACATGCCAATGCCAATGGAAGCTGCCTGCCTGGCACTTTCTCTGCTTCCCACCACACTGCCTCCCAGCAGAGAGGGGGCCGAGTGAGAGGGCGTCCTCATCCCACCGGCTGTGGAAGCAGTCTGTTCTGCCTGCCTCATCTCTCATTTCCTTCCAGAGGTGGGATGGGACGAACCAGGCAGACCTGGGTTGATGGCTCTTCTGGCAGACGGCCACACATTGTTAAAAACCACGATGTCATAAAAAAAAAAATCACTAGGTTGTAAAAAAGTCTTTTTTAACCTAACTCTGTAGGCCAAGGCTTACTTTTTAATGAGATCTTTCTCTATTCTGGACAAATGCTGACTTTACTCGAGGAGAGTGCCTAGGCCATATTGCTCTCTTGAAATGACAGGGCCATTTTCATTGCTTTTTAAATGAGCCAGCACCCAAAATATATTTTTTTGGAAGACGAGCAGTACGCTTTTTCTGTAACCAAAAGTCTAAGCTATAACAAAAAGAAAAAAATTTCCAAGGAACCATCTTACCAGTGATTACTGGGAGGGGATTTGGACTCATTCCTGACTTTTACACAAGGACAAAAACAGATAGCCTTGCTGGGTGAGAGACACTTATAAAAAATTCCTTATAAATGAATCCAGAAAGACACACACACATCCTGCCAGCTGGAGACATTCATGCCCAGCAGCAGCTTTCCACCCCCTACTCTTAACTTGCAATCCACACGGCTCTTTAGCATAGGCTGGGGGTAGTGGAAGGTAGAAAGGTGATGTCACATCAGTCCTCATGCAGAAAATTCTCCAGCCAGGGAGCAGCCCCACTGTCCACATTGAGCCCCAAAGTTGCACTGTTCCAGGGACATCTCTTCAGCCTGACAGCAGAAGTTAGGGGAAATGCACTTCCCTGCCCATTCCTGCATGACAGAACAGCAGGCAGAAGGCCATGACCAGGCCTGACCAGCTGCGAGATGACCCCCGCTCTAATGGAGGCTCTGAGGGCAGGGGTGCAGCATGTGGCCCCATATCTACCCAGGCCCTGCCAGCAGGCCGGGAGCAACAGCTCTGGGCTCTGGTCTGTTCAAATGCTCAGAAAGCAAGAACTTCTGAATGCTCATCTACCTGTTGGCTTTTTCAGATGCTGAGATCCTGTGTTCCCCAAAAGTCAAATGGCTGTTCTTTTCACAGAATTACCTAAGATTAGTATTACTTATACAAAGAAAGATATTAAAACAAAACAAACAAACAAAAAAAACAAATTCACCATGTGATGAGACTACTATTTTACATACTGCTGACTGAGGGATAATGAAGTTCTCCCTGTTATAATGGGTTCTTGATTCTTAATTTCTCTATATGGGAAGTTATTCCTAAAGGCAAAACAGTACTTATTACTGTCCTGAATAGATAACCATCATATAAGGAAACAAGAGTTAATTTTGGGGGAAATAAACAGTCCCACAGTGCTCCGACACCCCTCTATCCATCTGAGCCTGCCTTCCAGAGGCACTAACCCAGCAAAGAAGCATACACACTGAACCCATGGGCATGATAGTTCTTAACATTAAACATACAATGTTAGAAATGAAAGATCTAATCTTATGTGAAGAAGGCATACGGAAGTGTATTCTTCATAATAAATGTTTATACTTTTGGTTAATGTCTTCCCATTATTTGTTGGAAAAAATGAAATCACTTTGGCTGCTTTGTTAAAGAGGATACCAAAGATGTTAGAGGTGGGGTATATGCAGATTTTTTAAAAAGTTGAAACATGTCTTTAAATGAAGCAGGTGGCACACAAGACTCTCCCAGGCAAAATGGTTTTAAAAATGTGCTATTAGTGGTTTAAACTATATAATAGATTTATTTCAGGAGGTGAACGATTTCTCTTCATGTATACATTTATTATTATTTAACAAAATTTATACCAGATTCAGAATGCTAGCATGGAAAAATCTTTTACGTACATTCAAGAAAATGTACTATAGTTTATTGCAGCACTGTTTACAATAGCAAAGACCTGGAATCAACCCAAATGCCCATTGATGATAGACTGGATTGGGAAAATGTGGCACATATACACCATGGAATATTATGCAGCAATCAGAAATGATGAGTTCGTGTCGTTTGTAGGGACATGGATGAATCTGGAGAACATCATTCTCAGCAAACTGACACAAGAACAGAAAATGAAACACCGCATATTCTCACTCATAGGCGGGTGATGAAAAAATGAGAACACATGGACACAGAGAGGGGAGTACTAAACACTGGGGTCTATTGGGGGGAAAAGGGGAGGGCCAGTGGGAGGGGGAGGTGGGGAGGGATAGCCTGGGGAGAAACGCCAAATGTGGGTGAAGGGGTGAAAGCAAACAGAACACACTGCCATGTGTGTACCTATGCAACTGTACTGCATGCTCTGCACATGTACCCCAAAACCTAAAATGCAATAAAAAAAAAGAAAATGTACTATAAACCATGTTAACTTATACATGTTTTCACAGAGCCACATTACAACATACTAGTTTTAATACAGTGTTAAGGAGAAAAAATGTGTCTCTGGAGTATTCTGCAATGAGCCTGCCAAACACTATAGCTATTCATTTATGTATTTTTGAGATGGAATCTCACTGTGTCACTCAGGCTGGAGTGCAGTGGCTTGATCTTGGCTCACTGTGACCTCTGCTTCCTGGGTTCAAGTGATTCTCCTGCCTCAGCCTCCCAAGTAGCTGAGATTACAGGCACCCACCACCACAACTGGCTAATATTTTTGTATTTTTAGTAGAGACAGGTTTTCACCATGTTAGTCAGGCTAGTCTTGAACTCCTGACTTCAAGTGATCCACCACGTCTGGCTATCGCTCTTTAATTCTTCTCCAGCGAAGGTTAGCTAAAGTTTCAGAGCTTTAAGGGATGGAATATTAGCTTAGAAAGAGCTACAGCAACGTAGAATGAGGAACCAGAAGATTATTTGCCCCAATAAACCACAAAGCAAATATCTAGTACATTATATTCTAGAGTCCCCATTGTTTAATTCATAAACAGAAAAACAAAAGCCACAATTAGGAATTCCTTTTACAATTATATTTGCTTTTGCCCCATCAAAAGCAAAATGCTGCTCAACTAAAGCTAATAAGCGCTTGGAAGTGGGATGAAGACATGTAGTACAGACTGGAGGAAGGAAAACGCCCATGCGCATGCACCTGGAAAGTGCCATCTACTCCTAAGCACACAAAGCATTAGGAGATGCAGCGCCAAGACCTGAACTAATTTGATTTTATGACATCTTGTTTCCCTCCCTTCCCCCCGCCCACCCACATGCACTGAATGGCACTGCATTTTATTTTTCAAATCACCATTTTGTCATTTCTTGAGGGCTGACTCCCACTAATTTAGGATGCCACATACTAAAACCACCCACAATAAAGGCCAAAGACAAAAAGAAAAGAGGGCTGGAGCAACTGCTTTTGGAGTTCTCCACGTATCCCACACGGGGGTCAAATGCTCTGTCTCTCCCATGCTCCCAGTGCCTCGGGAGAAGGCGGCTTTCTAAGAATCTCCTGCACCTTCCTGTCATAAGTCTTCCTGTGAAGAACCCTTCCCTGCCTGTCAGGCCCCGGAGTAACCACATGGGGAGAGAGGAAGGGAGCGAGGGAGGGAGGGAGGGCTGGAGTTATTCCAGGCAGAAACAAAGCCGGCTGGGAGATGGAGACAAAGGGAATGAAAGGAACGCCTCTGCTAAGAACACCAATTAACAGCACGGATCTTGTCCTTGGCTGAATTGGTGCCCGTGGTGTGATGAAAAGCATGGCCACGGACCGGAGGCGGCAGTGGGAAATAAGCAGACCGCCCCTGCGTGGGGCCAGTGCTGAGAGTGCCTGCGGTGGGCACTGTGCTGTCTTTCTTTTTAGCTGAAGAGAGACAAAGAGAAAAACATTCCATGTTCAGTTCCTACGTCATAATAAGCACACCCCGTTTATTATTGAAGAGTTCCTTATTCAGCTTCATGCTTGCTTCTGTGCCCTTGGGCCACTTCTTACCATAATCCATCAGCTTTAGGAGATAAGAGGAAGGGGAAGTTGCCTTAGGGCTATATTTTGTCTCAGAAGTTTGTCAAAGGCTGTATCCTTACAAGAGTAACTCTAGCCTTCTCATGCTGATGGGTATAGGTCCATTTAACAACAGAAACGTTTCTCAACTGTGCATCTGAGAAAATGGACAATGGATATGACTGAGATGGTGACTAATAGTCAAATATTAAAAGTAGCAACGAAAGAAGCCTCATTTTACATATATACAGACTAGAAGATGTGTCCAACGTGATCAGTGGTTGCCTGGAGTTTTCCAGTTAGCACATAATAGTTTCAGAGAAACTAGATATTTGGAGGGGTGGGGAGGAGGGTGAGCGGGCATGTGGTTTGTTCACATTCGTATGGTTTTATATCAGAATCGCAAAAAATTATTAGGAGCATCTGTATGGCTGCCCAACCCCCACTGCTACTCCTTGGAGACAGGAAGAGGAAATGTGAGGAAGCCCCCATGGAGGAATTCCATGGCTTGTTACCCAGCTCACAGGCTGACTCACTCTGTTTATGGACTTGCTCATGTGCCCCTGAGGCCAACTTTGAGCACCTGGAGGAAATTCTTCAGAATGAAAAGCTATAAATTTGTGTTCTCCTGAAATCTAGCTGAAGAGATATACTTAGAAAGAACACAAACCAGAGAGAGATTACAGTTAAACAACGAGGGTGCCTGGTCTAGAAATAAGAAAAAAATCCCAAAACTAGGAAAAGCCAGTTTGCCTGAAGCCTCCTAACCTGGGACCTTTGGGTTTTTTGGGCACTTCTGGGGGAGGTTTCAGTTTAATTTTAATGTTAACTTCAAAAACATTCTAATATTCCAAGATTTTATATTCACTCTAAAAAAAGGGCTATAATACTGAATAACTTCAAGTTTCTTTGCTTCTTGGCTAAAAATATATACAAATTCAATGTGTAACACTTTTTTTTTTTAACATGGAAACAAGGGAACAGAATCATTTTAAAAATGCAGTTTGCTAAAACTGAAATAAAAAGAGCCTTTAATGTAGATTTTGGGGAGCATAATAACCATAACAACAAACATTCTCTCTCTCTTTTTTTAAACAGATGAGGAAACTGCAGCTCCGCAAGATTATCAAGAATGTATAAGATCATACAGGTAGAGGTGAGGAGGGACAAACTGGCTTCCACAGTAACACACTATTCCCACTATCCTATAATGCACATCCTGTCTTAAGCCACTCACTTGAAGATACTTAAAGGGGAAAACGATTTCAGTTTGCACAGCAACTTGTGTGAAACAATCAGTCTTCGCAGTTGAAACAATCCAACACTGTGACAAGTACTTCCGTGGTTTTTTCCCGTGAAACTGAATATTCCATGCACTGACAGCTTTAATGTGAGTGAGGCAGTACTGTTAACCTACTTGGATACTTTTAGTGTAGGTTCATATTATGTATTTCTTCAGCAAAGACATTTCTTTATCCTATATTTAGTCTTTGGAATGTTTTCCTTTAATTTTTAAAAGCAAAAATTGCAGTGGTGAGAATCCATATTCCTAATCAAAAAAAAGACTTCAAGAGAATTCAAGACTTATAAAGCACACAGTTCTCTTTGTATATGAGTCTGTTCAGTGTTAAGGAGGGTCACTAGATTATGTTTTTCCTGAGCTTGAGTCAGGGGAATATGTATAGCACTGGAATAGATTCCATCTGTCCTATAAAAGGGCATACTGATTTCAGAATGAGAACCAGCCCAATAGTTCCCCTCTCCTATCCCTAGAACTGGGCTCTCCCATTGGAAACATCATAAAAGATCATTTACAGTTCTTCTTGACCTTACCTTCTCTTGAATTATTTTCTTAACAACTACTTAGCAGTAAAACTCTCCTGGCTCATGTCTGTGTAAGTTATTGACTATGGCAATGTTAGCAAATAAAACAGGCTTCTGTGCACATTACTCTAAGCAAGACTGGTTCACATTTGGATAGGCTGATGCCACACTAAACGTCAGGACGTAGAAAAACTGCCTATTCCCAAAGTACTCTGACACATGAAGCCCCAGGCTGCCTGCAGGTGTAAGAGGGGCTCCACATTCACACTGTGTGATTTGATGGGCACTGTAAAGTTACCTTGGGATTTATTTCTTAGATATTACCCAGAATCATTCTTCCTTTTCAAATGTGATGCATACATATTTCCCCATAGTCGATTTAAAAGGTAAAATCACAATATATTAAAACATCACTGTGATATAACTGTTCTCAGGAAACTGTCCTGAAATTACTATAAGGGTTAGAAAAGGATGGGCAGGCATTTTCTACATGTGCACACAGACACACATATGCACACAGGCACACATGGGTATGCACAAATTTCACTTTATCTTATTTATTCTTTATTGTGAAGTGATCATTTTTTGTTCAAGAAATTCCACAGGTCATCAATTTTTCTTCCAAATTTTTGCTAGCTTAAAAATTCTGAGGTGACAGCTTGAAGAACATCACCTGGAGGTTCCTAATAGTTTGAGAATTACCAACAAAAATATATAGAAAGAAACAAAAAATATATAATGGCACAATTATAAAGCAAATTTAGTAACGTCCCTTGAGAAGAATTTTGAAGGAATTAAAATACTGCTAGGATTCAAAAATTCCCTCTACAGAAAGAATGCTATGTCTTCTTAAGATCAAATACTCCTTAGAAAAATTGCTCATTAAAATATTTTGTTTTAAACTTTGGGGATGTTTATGATACCCCAAGGGGCATGGTCTGATGTTACTCCCACTTTGCAGACAAAGAAAAAGTTCAGAGAGAGAAGGTAATTTACTCAAGATTCAGAGCTAGCTAGGGGCTGAGACATCAACTCAGACTTTTGATGTTACCAGTTGTTCTTTTCACTGCACAGAAATTACTACATTCATTTAGGAAAGCAGACGCATCACTGATATTTAGACTCTGTTACTTTAATACACCCAGGGCAGGAATTCCTACTGCATAGCGTCCCTGAGGGACCTATACAGCTTGCACACGTGGAGACAGAGAGGTCACTATCTCTGAGTGGTAAAACAATTTAATGAACATAAATGTAACAAAAAGAACCTAGGGTCAAAGACTTTTTAAACGTTTTGTAAACAAAAATACAAGTAGTACTGTTGAAAATGAGGTTCAGAACAATCCATGCAACATCCACAGCTAACACTTACCTCCCAGTATTCCATGAACAAATAGAGTTAAGCGGCACCACTTCCCCTTCAAATGCTGAATACATATTTTCTGTGCCCCCCTTTTGATCTGACACCCCACTCCCTTTCTTTGGCAGGTCCCTCCACCTCGAGAGACCCTTCTCCACTGAGCTCTGAATAAACTGGACGCGCCCTGTAAGTCTCAGCAGATCTCCTTGGCTCTCTGCATCTCGCTGCCCACTTGTGAAGCACATATGCAGATAACGGCTGGGAAGAAAGTGAAGGCAAACACGGAAAGTGAACCAGGCCACGACCAGAATCTGGTAGAGAGCATTCCTGCTGGCATGCAGGTACCAACCTGTGACAGACTCCTTTTTTTTTGGCTGCATGGTCTGGACAGATAGCTGTTAAAAGGTTACCATTACAAAGCTGGCCGCTGGAGCAGGGCAGCATTCCACGGGCATCTGCAGACCTAACTCCCCCTCACCTTGGCTCTTTTTATCCTGTTGTCTTTTCCTCAAAGTGAAGCTTACTGACTTCTCACATAGCCTTTGCAGGAATCACATCTTTGCATCTTTTCACCAGTTCTGTGCATAAAGCAGAATCTGGCATAGACACTCCCTTGAATACAATGGCGATGTTGGAAGCATCCCTCTCCCCAGCCAACTTTGTATTATCCTATCATATGGTTGTAGAACCAGAGTCTAAATACCAACATTAGGACACTGTCGTTTTCTCAAATAGTCTGAAAAACGCCAAACAAAATTAAACCAAAACAGACATAAAGCCAACTAAAATCATAATGTAATTTGTAGCATAGATTACTTTAGACTGTTTACATGCCATTTCAAGAAAAAGGGATGATCAAAAGCAGTCCCCAGACATGAAAAAGGTCTTACAACACACAATGGATGTGCAGCGCTCTGTTCCCAGTTGCTCCTCACATTCCTAGCGGTCCCTCACAAACCCTCTCCACACAGCCCCATCCCAAGGTGGTCAGCACGGAACGCATTTCAGGTTCCAAGCATGTAACATTTCTGCTTTCAAGCACACGTCAATCACTGAGCAGCCACTGGAAAAAAAGCAGGCAGAGAGAAAGCAGCGCAAGCCCGAGCATCTGCAGAGAGCTTGTGTACCTAGGTCGAGGATCCAGTACTTGCAGGTGCCCGGCTGCCCGCCGCTGCAGTAGGCTGAGCTGACAGAGGACAGCGAGTCCAGCGTGTCCACTGGCTTCAATCCGTTGGGCATGGTGATGGGAGCCGACTGGAGGCTATAGGAACCCCTGCCCTACCTCTCCCTTCACGACAGCTAGAGCCACTGCTTGGCAGCAAAAGCAGAGACCAGCTAAAGAGACACGCACAGACTGGGACGCGACAGGGACATGCACACAGACTGGCAGTGTGCAGCTCGGCCGGCGCCAGTCCACGGCCCAGCGCACGCCTCTCCCTCGCTGGCGTCTGAGCGCGCGCTGCAGTTGGGTTTCACAATGGGAATACCCAGACGCAGTGGATTTCATTCTACCACACTGACTCTAATTGGAGCTCAAGGAAATTCTTCAGGCACCCTGGAAACCAGATGTCTCTCCTCGCCGGCACTAGCCAGAGCTGCAATTTCCTTTCTCAGTGAAATGTGAAGTGACAGATGCCCTGCCCACGAAGGCCGTTCTGAATGGCTTCCCTGACTTGGGCTTTGTGTACATCTGGAGGGAGGTCGGCCCTGGGACGCACACAACAAACAGCACCTCCTGATGTGACTTGATAAAGAAATAGAAATGTAATTCGGTCTAATAGCCAACTGGTTACATCACTGTGCTGTAATGCCACTCCTCGCTTATTAAAAACATATCTTCATTCTTCCTCACAGGAAGCAGCCACAGAACTGAAAATGTAAATTCTTGCATGTGAACTGTAAAGGAGTTTCAAGAAACACGCATCTTAGGAGTTCGTTTTGTCTTCCTTGGAAACTGGATCTTTTCCTTAGCTGACAAACATTCTTACTCTCTCTTTGAAAGTTTCCATATGTTCTCTTCCTTGCCCCACACCACACAATGGCTTCAGAGGGCCATGCCCTCTGCGTGGGAACCACAGAGCCTGACTTCCAGCTTCTATGGAAGTGTGCGCTCCCCTGTGCCTCAGTGTCCTCCAAACTAGACCTGGACGCCCTTGCCTTGCTCTGACAGAGTCACCTGGAACATTCTGCATGTATCTCAACCTGTAATATCGCGCTGAGCTGTTTATAATTTCTTTGAGGAAGAGTTGTTTGTGGAACCTCAAAAAAAAGTACTATTTTGACTTCTTTATATTAATAATTCTTCTCATGTCTGCTTTACCTAACTTGACAGTACAATTTTATTTGTGTTGTTTTATATAACTTTGAAAAAAAAGTTAAATTTTGGTTTTCTCCCCGTCCCCTCAATTTGCTGCAAAATATTTAAAATTCTCAAAGGAAAAAGAATGTGAAAACAGCACAGACTTCTAGTTTCTTTCTGAGCAATTAACAACTATAAAAATCAAGACGATATATCCAGGGCGCCCAGAGAAAACTGTCTCAGGTACTGCAATGGCCCTCTCACAACTGCTGCGAGGGGACTCTGGCATTTACGGGCCCACATTAGGCTTCGTATTCTTAAAACACCAAAAGCAAAGCGTAAGGTTGTTTTTCCCTTTAAATGGTCCCATGATAGGCCCACATGGTGTATTTATGCCAGGACCTAGCGAGAGGCAGAGTTCTGCACAGAGCCCTTTTTATTTAAGAGAAGAAAACTTTATTGCCAAATAAATAACCTCCTCTTTTGTTAGCAAAAAGCACTAAAAAATTATGACCTAAGCGAAATCAAGTTAACTGACATTCTAAGGTTTCCAGTTACTACAACCGTTATTAAAAAAGTTTGCTTTGTCCCTTTCCAAAAGTACAGACTGCCAACAAGGGCCATTAATTTAAAAATTATAAAAGAGCTGTCAGGGAATTTAATTACTTTATGTGTAATATAAGTTCTCTATGAAAGAAAAGAGGATTAAGCTTAAAAATGAGTAAAATAATTTTGGCCAAAAATGTATGGGAAATTTCCCTAGGGACTGATCACTTCAAATCTCAAGTTAGGGGTGGGCGCGGTAGCTCACACCTGTAATCCCAACACCTTAGGAGGCTGAGGTGGGTGAATCACCTGAGGTCAGAAGTTTGAGACCAGCCTGGCCAACATCTCTACTAAACCCCATCTCTACTAAAAATACAAAAATTAGCTGGTGTGGTGGCACATGCTTGTGATCTTAGCTGCTCAGGAGGCTCAGGCAGGAGAATCTCTTGAACCCAGGAAACAGAGGTTGCAGTGAGCCGAGATCACGCCATTGCACTCTAGCCTGGGCAACAGAAAGACTCTGTCTATGAATCAATCAATCAGTCTCTCTCTCTCTCTCTCTCTCTCTCTCTCTCTCTCAAGTTCACATCTGTCAGAGAGGCGTAGCATTCTGGAGATGAGGGAGTGAGGAAGGAAGATGCCTTCTAGGTCCCCTCCCTCCTTCCAGTCATGTAGGTGCGAGATTGCGGAGTGTGTGAAATGGGACAGGGCATTTTATACAGTAAGTAAAGAGAAATTATCTCAATTAAAGGCACCACATGACTAACTTGAAGGGTGACAACCTGAGCCAATAGAAACATGGAACCAGAAGAAACATGGAGGTGAGTAAATCACTGGATGGGAGAGGAGGTGAGGCAAAAGGAAAAGGGGGAAGTCCAAACCACTGGCAAAATCTCCCTGGAAGTAAGTTTTGACGCCAAGGTCTATTTCTACCATGGTGGCATGGCCAGGGATCTTGGTCTGAGAGTCTGAACAGACTCGGTTTAGGAGAAGACAACACAGGGGTTAGCAAATTCAACAGACGGTGGGAAGAAACTCAGGTTCAAAACCGTGGCCATGAGAGTAGGAAGAAAAAGGAGGTGAAAACAGGTGGGTGACTTGGTTAACTGGGAACAAATTATAGAAGCGACAATGTGATGTGGCCAGAAAGGAAACTAGAAGCTGAGAGGCTTGAGAAAAGGGAGAATGAGGTTAAAGCTGTGAGTCTTTAACCTTGTTTGATCTGCTGAATGAGTCTACCTACAGTGTAAGAACTTTAGCAAGTAAGAAAAGGTGGTCAGGAAATGACCGAAGCCTGAATTGCAATGAACAGGACCTAGAAAAGGAATGAAACAGTGAGACAGGTTTAGTGCAGACAGACTTGAGTTTCAATAGAAAGAAGAGAGACATGAAAATGGAGTGAAGGGGGTGGGTCAGAGCCAAACACCACCGGCACTTAGCAAAAGAGAAGATGTGTAACGTAGAAATTCACGGAGCTGTGAAGGAAAACAAGACCTTCTGTTTTTTGGTATTTTTGATAATTTTTGACATTTTAATTCGATGGCTGGACATACAATTTAAAATGTCACAGAGAGAACAGAAGATCCACTAAGATAGTGCTACTTTAAGGACATAACGTTTTTCTCTGAGGACCAAAGCCAGAGACGTTGAGAAGAAACAAAAGGGTGGTTTCTATGTCAAGCAAACTGAGCACTGACTCTTAACATCATGATTGCACTTCCTATCCCTGCAAAACACATCATTAAAATCAACCAGGATGGTGGGGTTACAGGCTGAATTGTGTATTCCCAAATTCCTAGGCTGACGCCCCAAGCCCTGGACCCTGGAATGTGACTGTGCTTTGAGGCAGGAACTTTAAAGAGGTGACTGAGTTAAAATGAGGTCCTTAGGGTGGATCCTCATCCAATATGCCTGGTGTCCTCACAGGAATAGGAGATGAGGGCACAGACATGCATGGAAGTAAGGCCTCATAGACACAGGGAGAAGATGGCCATGTTCTCGTCTCTGCAAGCCAAGGAGAGAGGCCTCGAAAGAAACCTACTCTGCTGACACCCTGATCTCTAACTCTCAGTCTCCAGAAAACAAATTTCTGTTGTTTGAACCAGGCAGTGTGTGGTACTTTGTTACGGCTGCCCCAGCCACAGCTCATCTGGGCACGTGCATGTGAGGGGTACTATACTCAAAATGGAATATAAACACAGAAACCAATGAACCCAGCCAAATGAACCAATGAACCTACCTCTTACATCAGCCAAAGAAGATCACCCCGAGGTGGGTGGGGAAGAAAAGAACTAACCTAACTTTGAAAAACAGCTTTTTTATTATGTACTGTAAAACCCAACAACAACAACAACAAAAAAATCCCTGTAAGTTTATTTCTCGCATGAGTATGGGTTAGCAATTCTGAAACTACTATAGTGAGAATGGGTAGAATCTTTTTTTTTTTTTTTTTTTTTTTTTTAAGAGATGGAGTCTCCCTATGTTGCCCAGGCTGGAGTGCAGTGGCTATTCACAGGCGCGATCCCACTACTGATCAACACAGGAGTTTTGACCTGCTCCGTTTCTGACCTGGGCTGGTTCACCCCTCTTTAGGCAACCTGGTGGTCCCCCACTCCCAGGAGGTCACCATATTGATGCCGAACTTAGTGCGGACACCCGATCGGCATAGCACACTACAGCCCAGAACTCCTGGATGCAAGAGACCCTCCGGCCTCAGCCTCCCGAGTAGCTGGGACTATAGGCATGTGCCACTGCGCCCAGCAGAGTTGAGTCTTAAAGTCAGAAATAGTAAAGAACATATTCAATTTCCAAATAAGAGAGGAAAAAAAAGAACTTTTAGAATAGGACTGAACAAATAATTATGTTCTGGAGAATGAAATCCAGGTGTCTTACTATGAAAGAAAGAGGTTATAAATGAGGACGGGACAAAGGTTAGAATAAAGCCTTTGTTGTTAGATTGCAGTGGGACATTTCAGTATGATGTAAACTCATACGCACACATACAGGAGCCTAGTGGAGCTGTGAGAAGAGGGCCACCACCCTCCAGACTCCCAGATTGGCAGACCCACTGACACAGCTTGCACCATGCACCTGGAAAAGCTGCAGACAATGTCAATTGCGAAAGCAGCCGGGAGGGAAGCTGTGCCCCGCCAAGCCAAGGGACAGAGCTGTCCAAAACCACTGGAACCCACCTCTTACATCAGTGTGACCTGGATGTGAGACCCGGAGTCAAAGGAGATCATTTTTGAGTTTTAGGATCTGACTGTCCTGCTGGATTTCAGACTTGCATGGGGCCTATAGGCCCTTTGTTTTGGCCAATTTTTCCCATTTGAAACAGCTGTATTTACCCAATACCTATACCCCCACTGTATCTAGGAAGTAACTAAGTTGCTTTTGATTTTACAGGCTCATAGGTGTAAAAGGACCTGCCTTGTCTTGGATGAGACTTTGGACTGTGGACTTCTGAGTCAATGCTGAAATGAGTTAAGACTTTGGGGGACTGTTGCGAAGGCATGGTTGGTTTGGAAATGCGAGGACATGAGATTTAGAAGGGGCCAGGAAGGTGGAATGATAGAGTTTGGCTGTGTCTCCACCCAAATCTCATCCTGAATTCCCAAGTGTTGTGGGAGGGACCTGGTGGGAGGTAACTGAATCATGGGGCAAGCTTTTCCCATGCTATTCTTGTGACAGTGAATAAGTCTCACATCTGATGGTTTTAAAAAGAGGAGTTCCTGGGCACTGCTGCCTGCTGCCATCCATGTAAGATGTGACTTGCTCCTCCTTCCTCCATGATTGTGAGGCCACCCCAGCCACGTGGAACTGTAAGTCCAATAAACCTCTTTCTTCTGTAAACAGCCCAGTCTCGGGTATGTCTTTATCAGCAAAACAGATGAATACAAGGAGAGACAGATATGGGGGGAGGGGAGATGGAAGAGGGGAAATACAGATGTTTATGTACACATGGGTTGGTACACACACTTATCTGCTAAGAGGGTCTGAAGTCATGGTACCACATAGCAATTAGCATACCTAGCACCCAAATCTTAGCTTCTAAGACCATTCTCCAATAAAAGGAACCAGGAAAGCTTCTCGGAGAAATGGCTGACTCCAGGACTGTGGCAGGGACAATACAAGATAAGCCTGGAACATTTTATGGTGCCAGAAAGTAAAGGAATGCTTAAAACAAGATAGGAGAATGCCAGAAGTTCACAGACAGGGCTCTTGATAGCCACAGCTGCAACAATCTAAGAAGAAAACAATCACGGCACTGGGTTATGATCCACACAACAAATATCCATGACTCAAACCGATATAAGAATGGAATAAGTAAAAAATGAGGCAGAGGGACAGCTCTTCTAGAATTCCAACTGATACATCTGGAAGGAATGAGGAAAATATGAAATACCATTAGGCAAACGCTACAGTGTTGTAGGCAGAAACTACTGATGGATGCCAAGATAAGAGCGTAAAGGTAGGATGAGAAACAGAGTATTTGCACAGTTCAAAAGCATCTCCCCAGACCGGGTGTGATGGCTCACTGTAATCTCAGCACTTTGGGAGGCCAAGGTGGGTGGATCACAAGGTCAGGAGATCGAGACCATCCTGGCTAACA